CCCACTCACTGCCCCTCCTCCGGGTCATCCATGTAAGAGCGGTATCCCAGTGGTACCTGGGCCCAGATCTGCGTCTCCCCCGAGGCCAGCAGTCCGTAGACGATCCCGCCGATGCCGTAGATGCAGGCCGCCAGGTAAAAGACGATCTGCCAGTCGGCCGAGGACTCCTGCCAGGTAGGGAAATCACAACGGGCAAATTGATGAAACAGTCGACGGAGAGGGGGAGGGCAGAAAGGGGGGGGGGGAGTGTGCGGTTATTACTTTGAGTGAGGTTGGGGTTTTTTTGGTAGTCTAACCTGAGACACAACCAGTTGTACTGGTGCTATTTGGAAAGACACCAACCGAATTTTACTTTCATAAGCCGCAACCTTAGACTTACAAAGTTCTATCTGACATTTTTGGCCGTTTTGTTTTACTAAGACAATGAAGTCAGATACCAAATGTGAGGCAGCACGATGGAATCAGGCTCTCGTCAAAATAATCAAAGTCAAGAAACTTGCATTTTTCCGCGGGTTGTGAATTTTTATCAAATTTTTGTTTTTTAGCTGAACACCTTTCATGTTCATGAAAGAACTCATTTCTGAGTGGATTTTTTCTGAAAACCGTTGATTAAAGGCACAAAAACTGAAAATTTTCCGTTTCCACAGATTCTTAAGCTAAGGAAATAACTTATCTTTGGCGGCCATTTTCTCACTAATCTTACCACTGAAAACAAGTGACCCCCACCTCCTTTTTTCGCAAATATCTCGACTTGTATTCAAGATAAATGGATATTTTTTTCATCCAAAGCAAGAATAATGAACAAGCTTTAAGATGATACCAATAACTCTACATGCCCCAACATGAAACTCAAACTTTTCTACACCAAATTTCTCACAACTAGACACTGAGAAGATAGAACTTTGTAAGACTATATATATTAAAGAGAATCATTAACTCTTTATCTCCAAGGGGGGTAAACCCACTTCGCTGGGCTGTCCGCGTGGTTTTATGCAAAAAAAATCTGAAATTATGCAGACTGGGCCCAAAAATGTGAAATTATGTGATTCTGCTAATTTTAACAAAGAATGATAAAGGAAAATAATCCGAAATTGTGCAAAAAAATTATCAAATTTTGCTAAATTATGCGGGGTGCTTAAAACCACAGGGACAGGCTGGGGCCCTTTCTGACGCTAAATCTACAAATGACAAAAACGTCATTAACTGGGTCATTAAATCGAAACTTGCAAACCTATTTTGATAGTTCTTTATATTATAATGTATGAACTTCCGGTATAAGAAACCTGTTTTCGGAAATTGCCGAAAAGTAATTAGATGCCGAAGTCGTCATAAAGGAATGTGCCCAAGCCGCTGTCAGCGACTCACCGGCCCAGTGGTTTCGACCGTGAGCCGCTGGGAGCGACTTGCCGGAGATAAAGAGTCAAGACAATAAAAGTCATTTAGTGCTGGGGAAGAACAAGGAAGACAGACAGAAAGAACAGAGGGAAGGAAAGAAGAAGGGCCAAAAAGAAGCACTCTCCACCCACCCCCACAATACCACAGAGAGAACCAGGCACTTGAGTCATATATATTCATTTTCATTTAAATAAGAATTTTACGGCACATGCAATACAAAAAGGTCATAGAAGTGCCGAAGATTAGAGGTGTTACAAGAGAGTAACAAACACAAAAAAGAAGGAGAGGAGATAAGGACGATAGATGTTTGATAGGAAAAAAAGGAACAAAACACACTGCCGCGCCCGCCAACCACCCACCCACCCACTCATATGTTCTGAAGATGACCTTGACCCTGACAACATACGGACAGACTGAAGTTGTCTTTAAGCCATTCCCAAAGGGGGGGACATTCATTAACACGTTCTTAGGCACAGTAGATTTATCAATGTCATGCTATAACTGAGCCGTAACAATATAGGGGGAACTGCTGCTATTTCTTTCCTCATCCTTACTATCGTCTTTTTTCCCCTACTTCTTTTGTATGTTTGTCACTCTCTTGTGACCCGCTATTTCCGGGGGGCCTTGATAGTCAAAGCAGACTTTGAGCTGTTGAGGCTAGAGAGGTGAGCAGAGTAAGTCTGATTCCCCGTTTGGACTTCTGTTGACATCCACCCCTTGGCACTCATATGACCTTATGCAGTTCACGGCGTCACTTTTCGCCCGATTCTGTTACTTTTAGTTAGTGTGACTCAGCAGCCCACCGGAGCTCCCCGGCTCAGGGTCACGGGGTTAATGAGCCCTGAAGCGACTTTGCCGGTGTCGGTAAGGAAGTTCGCATTTTTGACTATGTTTAAAACGATATAACTTCTTCCCCATCCCACATAGCAAACCATAACCGGATGTACTAAAAGCTCAATGTCTTGAGATTTATTCTGCGTTAGAATTGTTAATTTCTGTGCCTTAGTTTTTGCTCTAGACAAGTGTTTGTAGAGTACCCAATTTGTCCTATTTTAGTTACAAACTTATGAATAAATTATTGTTGATTTTAAAAAGGCACGACAGATCTCTCCAAAATCTGTGTTAAACTGACTACGAATATCATGTCT